TTCTGCTGTGCATGGGGTCGCTATGAGTCGGAAACGACTCGACGGCACTTAACAACAACAACAACAATATATGGCATAAATAGACTATCAAACATAACCAAAAATATACAAACAGCAGAAAACAAGATGACTGGAACCTTCTAAAAATTAAATTCTTATGTGCATCAAAAGACTTCTCCAAAAGAGTCAATAAAGAACCTACAGATAGGGAAAAAAATATTTGGCAATGACATACCTGACAAGGGACTTATCTCTAGAATTTATAGAAAACTCCAACACCTCAACAAGAAAAAGACAAGTAATCCAGTTAAAACATGGGCAGAAGACATGAATAGACACTTCACCAGAGAAGATATTCAGATAGTCAACAAACACATGAAAAAATGTTCACAATCATTAGCCATGAGAGAGATGCAAATCAAAACAACATTGAGATACCATCTCACCCCACCACTAATAGCAAAGTTCAACAGACAGAAAATAACAAATGCTGGCAAGGATGTGGAGAGATTGGGACTCTCCTACACTGCTGGTGGGACTGTCAAATGGTACAATCACTGTGGAAAGCAATATGACGACTCATTGAAAAGCTGGAAATAGAAATACCATTTGATCCTGCCATCCCATTACTAGATATATATCCTAAAGAAGTGAGAGCCATGACAAGAACAGACATATGCACACCCACGTTCATCACAGCACTATTTACAATAGCAAAAAGATGGAAACAAGCTAGGGGCCCATCAACAGAAGAATGGATCACCAAACTATGGTATGTACAAATAATGGAATACTATGCAACCCTAAAGAATAACGTAGAATCTGCAAAACACCACATAACGTGGATGAATTTGGAGGACATTATGCTGAGTGAAATAAGTCAATCACAGAAGGACAAACATTGTGTCACTTCACTATTGTAAAAAGTCAAGGAAAGGTTTACATATGGAAGGGAAATTTTCTTTGTTGGTTACCAGGGAGGGGAGGCGAGGGGAGGGAAAATTTCTAGCTAAGTAAGAGACACATGATGATTTGGGTGACGAGAAAGGCAATATACCAAAAGGGAGTGACCAGAATGAGAACTGTAGGGAAAAGGAAGACCCAGAGGGGGGCATGTGAGCTACAGACCACCATGGCAGGTGCCGTTACATACCCACCACTGCATTACCGGTGATCACACACATTAACCCGGGGGGACACACAGGTCAACAGGCAGGAGGATCAGGTATGTGCAGGCGAACAGGACTATACCCGTGACCATGTACAGGCTTGGCAGATGATATTTCTACACGTGTGTTTGTGTGTGCTATAAAAATATCCAAGAAGCTCTGGTGGCACGGTGGTTAAGGAATTTGACTGCTAATCCAAAGGTCGGTGGTTCAAACACCTCAGCTGCTCCTTGCAAGAATGATGAGGGGGTCTGCTCCCATGAAGATTCACAGTCTTGGGAGGTAGCTATGAGTCAGAACTGACCCAATGGCAGTAAGTTTGGTTTTGGGTTTTATAAAAATGTCCACGTATATAATGGAGCAAACGGGGCAAAGTTATGGTAGCATCTTAGCCACAACTGAACCCCTCGAGGGAGTGACTCTCTGGACCCGTGGGCTGGGACCATGGTCGTGGGCACATCAAGCGACTGGGGCCTTGAAGGCTGTGAACAGCCATCCTCGTTTGGAGTAAAGAAGAGTGAAGAAAATCAAAGACACATGGAAACTACTAGTCCATGGGAACCTGCCCGGCTACCACGGCCAACCACTCGGAAAGGACCAAAACAGGAGGTCCTGCATAGAGTGGGAGAAAAACGTGGAAGGAAACTCAAAATCATAAGAAGACCAGGCTTACTGGTGTGACAGAGACCGGTGAAACCCCTGAGGCTGTGGCCTCTGGTCACCCTTGGGCCTGGAATTGAACTCACTCCTGTGGCTTCCAGCCAAACAATAGACAGGCATATAAGGTGAGCACTTACACCAGGTAGGCACACTTCTTAGAATGATCAACCGTGGGAGAACAGAGGGGCAGTGTTTGCACAGGGAGACAGCTCAGGGGGCAGGAGTGCCCCGGAAAGAAGGACCCCAGGGAAGAGGCAACCAACCACAGGGAGGAAGTGGGGACAGAGCTGTCACATTGTGGGGAATCGCAGTCAATGTCAGGAAACAGAACGTGTATGCACTGCTGTGTGGAAAATGAGTGTGCTCTGTAAACTCTCACCCAAATTACAACACAAAGTGGAAAAAAGAAATTGCATCTTCCTTGGCCCACACTCGGGTGGTCGGGGCCCAGCCTCCGTTCACGCCTAGCCTGAGTAAAATGGGTCAGTGGCAGGAAGAATCTAGATGTGCGTGTTTGGCCTGAATTATTCTTGCAACAAGGTGCCATGTCCATGCCCTCCACTGGTCACACTGCTCCTCTCCTTGGCCTCAGGGTCCCTCCCCTCGGCCACGCTGTTCCCGCACCCCATTAACTAACACATATTCTAAGCACTGATTCCAAACAAGCGTGTCCCATGGGCATCCCCCACCCCGCAGCAGCGGCCCGGGCTGCAGGGCCAGTGTGTTACCGAGGGCGTGGTAGGTGGAGAACCTCCAGATCTCTTCGAACGTCTTGAACGTGACGACGATCTGGTCCCGGTCACTGTGGATGGACAGCAGCCTGGCCGACAGCTCCTGAGGAGACGCAGGAGGAGGAGGAGCAGGGGCTTGGTGCCACCTGCCTCCAGGAGGCCAGGGCCTGGCGGGGCATGCGAGTGCAGAGCAGATTCCTCCTGGCTCACGCTGTGCCTCCCCTGCTCTAAAGCCAGCCCTGGCTCCCCAGTGCCTGCGGACGAGGCTTGGCTCCTCCGAGAGCCCCCGTTGGTGAGATACTCCGGCCCTGCGGCCCCCAACCCTGCCTGACTGCCCCTTCTGCCTACTTCCTTCCTACCTGGGCCACCAGGTTCTCCCGGCACAATTCCTGCCCTGCTCACGCTACGCTGTCAGCCTTGGGCGCACCCCCTTCCCAGCCCTGCCTGCGGCGTGGGTTCACTGCCAGCTTCCATGCCCCTCCAGTGGGCACTCCTGGTGGTGGTGGCCACACTGGAAGCAGCAGCGGCTCCCGGGGTCCCCGGGGGTGCAAACTGTGAGGTGCTCACTGCCAGCTACGTGGACACCCGCGGCTCCAGTCCACCCGAGGCAGCTCGGAAGAAAGGCCTGGTGATCTACGTTCAAAAGCCCGTCATCGCAAACCCTGTGGCGCACAGCCTGCTGGGACGCGCACGGGCCGCTGGGAGTCGGGGACAGCTCCACAGTGCTCGTTCTTCTGTTCTGCTTTTTGAAAGTGCCACACGAGGAGTTCACGGGGGGGGGGGGCGGTGCCGCTCTTATCCCAGTCAGTAGGTGGGGACAAAAACACCCTGCTTCTTACCCAAGGTCTGGCCACCAGAAAGTGGAGCAGCCGGGATTCGAACCCAGGACCTGGGCCCCAGCACCAGCGTGCATCACTCTACAGTCCCGCCAGCATCCTGAGCATGGGGACCCCCGTTTGTTGAGGGTCAGCTATGCACTGGGTGGGAGCGCTTCACATATTCTTGTGTTTGCTCTACAGGGCCGTCATTCTAAGTACCCCTAGTGTCAGGGGGAGGACACCGGGTCCACAGACTTACCCTCTGAGTAAGGGGTGTCGGCCAGGGTCAGGCCAGTGGGACCCTGAAATCTGTGATCACACCAGCCCAGCTGGCCCCGACCCCAGGACCCACCGCCCACCCAGGGAGACCCACCAGCCCAGCCCCTCCCCACAGCCCTCTGCTCGGTCAACCCAAGGAAAAGATGACTCCACACTTTTGACTCCCTGCCAAAGAGACCTGGAACTTGCAAGGACAGAATTCAGAAGGCGGTGTCTGTGTGTGCCTGGAGCACCCGGGGCAAGTCGCAGACGCCTGGGCCCCCGGAAGCCCGGCCACCGCCCCCCCTCCCCAGCAGGCTCCCTGCACAGCCCTTCCGTCCCTGACCCCACCTCCCGGAGCCCAGCCACGCGCAGCCACTCACCCCGAGCACACGGGCCGCCTCCCGGCTGTCATTCTCCAGCAGCCGGAGCCGTGCCCGCAGGGCCTGCTGCAGCCCGGGCTCCGGCCGCCCGCTCCTCCTGCGCACGGCCAGCACTGTCAGGGTCAGGTCTGCAAGGGACAGGGGAGGCCGCCTGTCAGCTTGGCCCCACCCACAGCTCAAACAGAGGCAACGGGCCTGCAGTCCAAATTACGTCACCGCCCGCACAAACCCGGACAAGTGGCGTGTCTGCCCTGAGCCTCCCTGCCTGAGTGAAATGACACCCCCCGGGCTTCACTGCCGAGCTCGACACCCCTCCGTCCCCCAAAAGGCTCCACCCCTTTCTGTCCCAGCTTTGAAGGGGCCCCCACTTTCCTCCAGCCCTCCCCTGCAGGCTGCCTCTCACTTGCCCAGCGCCTCAGCCCACCGGCAAATCCCTCTGGCTTTGGGGGGTGGGTTGAACTGTGACCCCAAAGATGTGCTGAAGTCCAGACTCTGGTCCTCGTGGACACAGCCTCGTTTGGAAATAGGGTCTTTGCAGAAGTTAACAAGAGGATGACACATCGGAGTGGGATGGCCCTAACCCAAGGGTTGGCGTTCTTCCAAGAAGAGGCAAGGACAGACACACAGAGACACCCAGGGAGGATGGCCATGGGAGGACAGACACACACGGGCCAGGGCACCACGCCCCTCACCATGCTCTGGGCTTGCACACAACTCCTTGGAGCAGTGACCCCATCTATCCCCACCCCAGACCAGGGATGCTGGGGGCCTTGCCCTGCCCACCCCAGACCAGGGACACTGGGAAAATGGGCTTGGACTTCAGTGGCCAGGCCTCTGACGGGTGCTCTCACACCTGGACCTGGGCCTCTGCAGAACCAGGCTG